CCGAGGCCAGCTCCTGAACGCGGCCCCCTGAGGCGTCCGAGAGACCTGCGGGATTTCCCAGGCGGCCTTTCTGGGCTCCCGCGTCCCTACGCGGCCAGGCTGCGCCTGCTCTCCCCGCTTCTCGCCGGCATCATCTGAGAGCGCTGCCAGCCGGCGTCGCCAGAGGGCGCGCCCGAGCCCGAGTGCCGCGGTTCTGCGCGCATTGGCCTCCGACCGCTTAGCTTGAGTGCAGGTTCCTGCCTGTTCGTTGAGCTCACCTGTGTCTACTTCCCTAAACTGTGGGAATTTAATAGATCCCCTGCATGCAAAAACGAGCATTTCTGCCGTGTGCATATGGCTGTGAGTTCAGGGGAGGCGAGCACGGGCCAGCTCTGAAAACTGGCTTAGCTGAGCTGAGGGTCAACACACACGGGGTTTTGGAGGAGTTGGCATGAACATATGAGGAAATTCTTGTTACAAATTTAAAAATACTGATTTCATGTGAAAATGCTCTTTGACATATTGGCTTAAATAAATACTTATCATTAAGAAGCGTTTGAAGTTGTTTAGTTTTTTTTTTGAGGCAGGGTCTTGCTGCCTGAAAATGGAAACCCTCCCTCCTCAGCCTCCTGTGTAGCTGGGACTACAGGTATGTTTCATTGCGCACTCTGAGGGTACTGGGGGTCAAACATGCTAGGCAAGAGGTGTAACACTGAGCTGCACCGCAGGCCTCTGCTCCCTTTTTCTAAGGCTATCTCTCATAACATATCTTGTTATTAGACACATCATGCTTGTTGCCCACATTACATTTATTTTAGATGTCCCTGGTCTAGAAAGAATGTTAGTAATAGCGATCACAGTGCTAAAAAGGTGACCCTCTGGGTTGTAGGGTCACAGGTTATTATTTCACCTGTATTTTCAAGTGTTGTACAATGAATCTGTATTACTTGTGAGACAAAACAATGAGTGTAGAATTCGTCTTCGCTTTTCAAAAGCAGGTTACTTGACCCTGTCCCAGAATGCCGGTGTCAAGGCACGGCGCTGTGCCGCCTGATGGACAGCGGATCTGAGGCCACCTGGCCTTTCAGCATGCACACAGGGCCATTCCTCAGCTTCCTCCAGCACGGTGGGCTGTGCTTTTCAAAAGCTATTGAGGGGGCTGGGGATTTAGCTCAGCGGCAAAAGCGCCTGCCTGGCAAGCGCAAGGTCGTGAGTTCGGTTCCCGGTACCGGAGAAAAACCA